TCTCTTATGATTGCTTCCTTGTATGGAAGCATTGAGGTTTTGAAGTACCTTATTAGTTGTCAAAAGGTTGATGTCAATAGAGCATGTGGCTCAGATGGGGTTACGGCTCTTCATTGTGCAGTGGCAGGGGGTTCGGATTCATTGGTTGAGGTTGTGAAGCTCTTGATTGATGCCTCAGTTGATGTCAATGTTGTTGATGCCAATGGCAAGAAACCTGGTGACCTGATTTTATCGTCCATGAAGTTCTTAAACAATTCGAAGAGGAGAACCTTGGAGATGCTATTGAAAGGGATTAGCTTTGAGGCTGGTGATCCAGAAGAAGAAGAAAAAATTAGTAGACCTCTGGCAACAAAAGGAGGAAATGAGAAGAAAGAATATCCAGTTGATGTACCATTGCCAGATATAAACAATGGGATATATGGAACTGATGAATTTAGGATGTATAGTTTCAAGGTGAAGCCATGCTCGAGAGCTTATTCTCATGATTGGACAGAATGCCCTTTTGTCCATCCTGGTGAGAATGCGAGGAGGCGTGATCCAAGGAAGAATCACTACACTTGTGTTCCCTGCCCCGAGTTCAAGAAGGGAGCGTGTGCAAAGGGTGATTCCTGTGAATATGCTCATGGGGTTTTTGAGTCCTGGCTACATCCTGCCCAGTACAGAACCCGCCTTTGCAAGGACGAGACTGGATGCCCAAGGAGAGTGTGTTTTTTCGCACACAAGCCTGAAGAGTTGCGTCCACTTTATGTCTCTACAGGTTCAGCTTTGCCTTCACCAAAGTCTATCTCAGTTAATTCAACAGACTTTTCAACATTGAGCCCGTTGTCTCTTGGCTTGTCTTCTTCGACATACCCTAATACTTCAACTCCACCAATGTCACCATCGGTTACATGTTCGTCTCCAATGGGTGGAAGCATTCGGCAGAACAAGGCAAACCTCATGCCTCCTGCTCTGCAGCTGCCAGGAAGCCGACTCAAGACGTTTCTGAGTGCAAGAGATATGGAGTTAGATATGGAATTGCTTGGATTGGAAAAAATCCGAACCCAATACCAACAAAGGCAGCAGTTGGCTGACGAGATGGCTAATATCTCATCCCCGTACTGCAAAGTTACAGATTTGAAGCCTACCAATCTTGATGATGTTTTCGGATCGCTTGATGCTTCGTCATTATCTCAATTTCAGAGTCCAAATGGCCTTCAGATTCATCAGAACTCAAACCAACTCCGTGCAAGCTACCCTTCCAACCTGTCATCCTCGACAGCAAGGATGCCGTCTACTTTTGGATATGACTCATCTGCAGCAGCAGTCATGAACTCAAGATCTTCTTTTGCAAAACGCAGCCAGAGCTTTATTAACCGTAGTGGTGGAGTTGGCCATCGGTCCTGCCATTCTGGTGCTGCTAATTCCCCGAGTTTGATGCCTTCTAAACTTTCAGATTGGAGCTCCCCTGATGGAAAACTTGACTGGGGCTTTAACAGTGAGGAGTCGAACAAGTTTAGGAAGTCAGCCTCTTTTGGAATTCGAAGTGGTAATGCTGCGGTATCAACCGCAATGGCTCCACCAAATGTGGACGAGCCAGATGTATATTGGGTTCATTCATTAGTTAAAGATGTCCCCTCTAACGGTGCTGGAGCTGGACAGTACAGTTCAGAGCAGCATCATGGACGGGCACGTGATATTGGCCCCCATTGGGTCGACCAATTGTACATAGATCATGAGCAGATTGTGGCTTAAGTCAAGAAAATTGCTTCAAGATTATCGTTAACTAGGTCAATATTTTTGAAAATTCTTACTAATACGTTGTATGTTTAGATGGTCAGTTTAATGGAATATATATATCAATTGCTGTTCTTTTGATCAGGTTGCTTAAGGAGTCGAAAAGGTTAGACAGAGGAACAAATTTTTATTTTTACTTTTTTCCTATATTTGTTTCTCCCAACCTGGGATAGTTGTAACTTTTATGTATTCCTCAATAAACAACAGATAAAGAATGAATTCCAAGTGAACTTATGCATTGTTCTTTCCTTCTAAACAATCTCGGTTATTATTGGGACTTGTAAGTGTACTGATTCTGTCACTTATAATCTGCTGTTGGATTCCTCAGACATGGATTTCCAAAGTTCTGTTCTTCTTCTTGGTAGCAGGTTCAGATTCAATCTACAGATGTACGTATAGACGGCGACTTTTTAACATTCAAGAGATCACACGCTGGTAGATGCGAAGAGAAGATGTGAACTCACAGACGCACACGCCTAATGCTATTCACTCGACCTGAGAACAGAAACTATTCTCAGCTTTCTCAGAACTATGCGATGGATTCGTACATTTTAAGCACCTGATGATTAGGCTGCAAGAGACAGAATTGCGGAGCACAGTGTAGAATGGGAGTTTGTACGTGTAACCCTCGTTAACTTTGTTCTTGTGAATTAGACTTGGTAAAAAGTTGAAAGAATCTAAGCCTTTATTGGTTTTATCTAAGCCTTTATTGGTTTTTTAAGTCATGCTTTACAGAAAATGTGCAAATGTGTCACGTTTGGTTGTGAGTATTGTTAAGTCGATAAATCTATCCTACGATTTCAACCCCCTCCTCCAGGGCGAATTCTAAAAGCGCGAAAGGAAACTAATACGAAAAAAGCTTGCAAAAGAGATAAGGTGAACCACACGTGGGTGAATTTGAAAAGCTTGACTTCCGAATCAAATTAATAACACATAAATACATAACAGAATCAATTACTAATCCATCTCTAAAATCTCGCCACAAGTAATTCTCTAGAATGAACCAAACCTTATGAAAATCTATAAATACTCCCACATAAGATAAGGAGGGTATGCAAAATCAAATATCTCCCTTCCAAATAGTCATTTCCCTTCTTACTCTAGTTTTAGCATCAAACCAGTGAATTTAGGAGAAGAAAATCCTAACTAGGTGAGAGGAATTTGTTGATCATTTTTCTTCCGTCAACAACTCTCCATGCTAAAGGTAATCTACAAAAATGTAATCATCCACTAAATAAGCCTTTATTCGTTATAAGCACTTTGAACTAATGGTAATTGATAAAAAGCGTGTGGAATGCATCAAAGAAAAATTTCATTCCTTTCATTTCTTTCCTATTCATCCCTATTTCTAACCATTTTTAAGTTCTTGTCATCCTATGACGAGTTTGCTGTTTAGGCTATATTTTTAGTTTGACAACAAAGATTTTTTGGACTCAAGCTCGATGTTCAGACTAAATTTTGATTGGATATGTCTCTTCTCTAGCATTGACGTGTCTTGCTTTATCATTATATCAACTTCTTTAATTATTAAATACAATATTTCTAATTCAATATTTAATGGTACATACCAACTTCTCATTGATGTGTTGTTTTGTAGAGAAACTAAATCCGTGGTTGGTTTGCCGTTTTTGGCCTATTTTTCGTTTCCCGTTTTTGAAAACGCAAAAAATGCATTTGGTCCGTCGTTTTCGAAAACGCATTTTCAAAAACGAGTTAAAATTTATAATTGAAAACGCAAAACAACTTTTTATCATTTTCAGCGTTTTCAGTTATAAATGTGAAAAATGCTCAAAACGAGGAAAACAGGTCGTTTTCGAAAAAAACTAAAAATCGTTTTAAAAATGAAAATGAAAAATGAAAATGGAAACCAACCGCACCCTAATATATTAAAAAAAGGAAAACTTAATCAATAATGGTGAAGAAGTTGAGTTGGATTGGATATTTTTCTTGGAGTATTATACACATAATACTGTGTGCTTTTGAATTATGGGTTAGGCAGAAAGAAGTGCTGGCATCAACATTAGCATGGAAATTCCAAAGTGTGGGTCCCATTCTTGAAACTATGGCCACCCTTGAGATCTTTATTCTCGTATCACCACGACAAAAAAACATGCTAAAAAATTCTAACTTTTCATAAATATTTTATTTGGAATTCGAAATTATGCACCACTTCCATCAAGTTGTCTATTTTGTACAATATCGTTCAATACTTTCATATCAATATGGAATACTATTATCACTTTTATCTCGACATTCCTTTATATATTCCGACTTAGCTTTTTCTTTTTCCTTGTCAATATTTAGAAGTAGTGTTCGAGTTAGGTCTATTTATTTTGGTAGAATTTTTAATTTGATCGAATCGAGACGTTTTCATAGGGGTCAGCTTGGGTAGGGCAAAAGCTTCATAGATTTGAATTTTTTAATTTAGCCCCATTTAAAAATATTGTAACAAGTTCAAGATTTCCAAGAAGTAAGCTTTGAACCTTGAAACTGGATTTTTATCCTTTTGATTATTTTTACATCTTCAAGGCTTTAAGGTGTCAAATTATATACTAACTTAAATATAAAGAAAAAATATAATCAAGTATGAATTAACATTCTTGAATAAGGGACGAGAGATCTTTGAAAGAATTATAATTTATTTGTCGTAGTACTATGAATATGAACAGAATTATGATTAATTTAACTAATTTGCTGCGATAATTTTTTTTTTTTTTTTTTTTTGGCTAACTTCTAAAGTGAAAGGGACTGACAAATTTTTTCTCAAACTATTAGAAACGATGACAAAAAGATAGGACTTTAGGTGTTGGGACGCAATTTGGTGTTTTGGACTTAACCCTTGGCAACATCTAGGTGTTACTAATACATAGCGCTCCACGGGGCACTTCTCCACTGGCAAATGACGGGTTCTTTCAAAACTGGCAGATCAGAGGTCATGGGTTCGATTCTTGGGGCTCTTAGAAGGCAAGACATATACTGGAAGGCAGGATTTATCTCGGAAGGCAGGAGTGTCTTGAAAGGCAAGGCGCAACATGGGTTGGCTCACTAGGCATTTTGGCAGTCCAGTTGAAGAGGTGTTTGGACCCTGGTCAGTTAGAGGCACATCTCGTGGTTTAACTGGTCTGTGTGAAGAGGGGCCGGATCACAGACTTAAGGAATAGTTGTCGAAGGCGGACACATTGATAAAAAAAATAAAAATACATAGCAATTGACCTCTACTCTTGCTAGAGGTCAATTGTGATGTATTGGTTCGACAAATTGAAACTAAGGGTGTGTTTGATACACCAAAATTTTTCATGGAAAATAAAATTTCATTTTCCAATTTTATGGTGTTTGATAGGGTTTTATTTCCATGAAATTGCCTTTTCTTGCTTTTCTCCGGAATTGATCTTTTCTTGGTTTTTAAGGAAAACCAATTGTGAGAATTGGAATTCCATGTTACTGTAGCATTTTGTTTATTAATTATTATTATTATTATTATTATTATTATTATTATTATTATTATTTTGTTTTGGTAATGGAAACAAATTCTAAAATTTATTGTAAAAATATATTTTCTTTTAATTGAGAATTTTCATATAAAACAAAGTCAAACGAACATCCAAAGATAAACGAACATCCAAAGATAGATGACTTTCTTGAATATTTTTTTTTTGACAATTGAAACAAATTTAATTCCCAATACCAATAAATTTTATCCCATTAACTGACAATTTTCAAGTAAAACAAAGTCAAACGGATATAAAAAAACACTTTTAATTTAAATATTTTCCACGTGGAAAATTATATCAATCAAACACAATAATTTACAACTCTCAGGAAAACAATTTCTCATCAATTCAATTCCCTGGAATTCGTTTTCTTTCCATCCAAATTCTACCTTTACAATCAAATAGACCCTAAAAGTAAAATTACGAGATCAACCTTTTGTACTTGCAACTTATTTGTAGCTCCATACATTACACTATCACACTTTGTTAATTCAACCCTACTACATGTGTACTTTTGTTGACAGAAGGTTTACAAATAAAGAGGTTCAAATCAATGTTCAAATTGTATGTCACCTTATTATCTATCAACGAAGGTGTAAACAATAGGTATATAAGTAGCTTACTTCTTGTTCGTTTTATTCAATTATCCGTTCTTTTTTTTTTTGGTGGGGGGGGGGGGTGGGGGGGGGTTTTTTATTTTTTTTTTGTAAA